AAACTGTAGTAAGCCCCAATGAACAAAACGGGATTTCTCCCAGGACATTCAGGGACGTCTACACAAAGCCGAGGTTATCTCCGAAGATATCAGAATCCGAGATAAGCGGATAAGGCACAAGAGTCCTAGAATGATGAGGAGACTCAGCCTGGATAAAGATAAAGCCCATAGGGAGTTTATCTCTATCTATTGAAGAGTCCTGGATAAGCACTGAGCTAAAGTCCATTGAAGCTAGGCTTCTGTTGGGACAAGGATTAAGTTAACTATAAAAGAAAGGCACCTCCGATGGGTCTAAGGTACGCAATTTTTATTCTGAACAGTGAGTTTAGAACTATTGATTATTTTTGAGAGATATACTGACTTGATCGTCGGAGTGCCCCCGGGTGGACGAACTACCGCCGGAATCTTCTCTTTCTGTTGCAGGTCAGCCAGGTGTCATTTATTCTGCCAGTACTCTCCAGCTGATTACTGAGTTGGCAGTGTGGTCAGAAAATCACTCACACACCAACCATGTTATGTTCATTCTTGTAGCTTCCTCTATATTTATGCATACTTTGTGTTTGTCAATATGTTTAAACGAACCAAAAGGTATAATAACTTGATTTGGGCAATTTGATTATGGTAATTTTTATTGAGTAGGAGAGTTCTATTGTGTTTGGCTAAATTTGAGAATAAAGCCAAGGGATTCTATCTGATTAGGATGCAAAATGGTTTTGCTAGCTTCTATCTATTTTACCCGATATATGTTGTGTTGCATCCCCTTCTCTCATTTCTTAGAAGCAGGTCATTGTTAATCCTTTATATGTATATATAAAGAAGAAAAAGATTAATGAAGAAAAAATGATTGAAATATTGCTTATATTTTATATATTTTTTTTTTATTTTTTCAATTCCTTCACAAATTTCTCATAAAATTCATAATCCAAACACATTCTAAATATGTTAAAGAGAAATTTTACTTCATAATAGTGGTTAGCATAATAAGAAAAACTCAAAGTAAAATCGATCATCAGGAATCAAACCTAAAAACTCTTAAATAAAATTTAAATAACTTTGTTGTAATGTTATCAGAACTATTTAATAACTCATCATCATAAAATACTCCTAAATTGGACTTTCAACTTTTTATAGTCAAACAACTTTGTTTTTACAGTTGGTTTGGTATGTAGATGGACTGAGTCATATTTACCCTTTTTTCCAATTGGACAATACCTACTAATCAATTTCTACACAAAATGCAAGCAACATAGAGAGAGAGAGAGAGAGAGAGAGCCGATTGTTAGAGTGTCAAAGGAGACCCACTTAGGCCCTTAAACATAAAACAAAACACATAGGAGAGCAGACAACATGAATCCTTTCATGTCAAATGTTTGCAAATATAAGAGACAACATGCGGCATCTTCTCTTCTTAATTCTTGCGTAGTTTCTTTTTTATATTTGTCTTTTTCTTGCATTGGTGGTGTTGTGTTTTAAGCCTTATTTTACTAATGCCCAATGCAAATTTTCTCCAATTTATTATATCCATTTAGCTTATAAAATGCTACAATTAAAATTTGTATTGACTTTTCATTTAATACATCGGATGCCAAAGTTTGGCGAAGGGAGACTTAGATCCTTACTTTTTGGGGTATGTATAACATTGTTTATGTCAAGTTTGCATTATCTAACAACCTATTGCTCAATGTTATGGCGGTCCATTAATCTTAAGAGAATGAGTTAATGTAATGGCATTTTAGACATTAGCTCCTCACAGTTAAGCAACTATACCTATTGCACATTTAAATTTGTATTCTCCGGTTACCATGATTAAAATGCTAAACGTATAGAATCCTGTGTTGCAAATAGTGATTCGATTGACGATGAAAAAAAAACGAATACTTCATTTAGTTTTTCAGTTTAATGACAGGAAAATAAATTGATCAAATTCTGCTGATTCTAACCAATAATGATCATTTATCAAAGAATAACTATAATTTTAAAATGATTGAACAATTGGAAGAAATCAGTCCCAAACAAACAGGACACAAAACACTTACATGGTTGTCTTATACTAAAATAATTTTTAACTATAGATCTTTCATTGATTATGTGTACTGATGTTTTGCTTTTGTTTTGTTTTTGTTTTTGTTTTATGTGGTGTGCTTTGGCATCCTTGAATTTCTATTTGTCGAAAATAGATATGAATCACGTTGTCAAAAATAGATATACATATTAGTGAAACTTCTTCAAAGTTTTAGTAGTGCTTAGAAATTAGATGTTTCCACATTTCTTGAAATATAGACAAGTAGTTAATGCAAAGTCAAAAGTTGGGAAAAAAAAATTCTGAATTCTTCTTTTTAATATATGTTACATCCACTGTTGGTTTTCGTAAGAACATAGCTTTTCCAATGTTGTACTTTTTCAAAATTCAACTAGACAAAGTCATTCTCAGAGTAATTGTGATTTTCTGTGTGAATCCTTGCTCACCATTTCCTTCAATCTTAGCATAATGTTGTTAGATCATAATAAAGAAGTAAAAAAGTTAATGGTGATCCTTCATTGTCCTTCTCTAGATTTTTTTTTTTTTTTTTGGGGGGGGGAATAACCAAAAAAAGAAAAACTACAACCAGCTTTTTCCCCCCTGATTATTTTGGTAATTATTAGACTTCATCTTAACAAAATGTTAGAAATTGATTTCCTATTTCGTTCAAATTTAATATTGTAGGTCTTTAGTTCATGACCATGTACCATTTTTTAGGTCATTGGCTGTTGCACTTTCCTTGTATACATTCAGCAGTTAATGCAGGTCATCACAAAATTCACTAATTTGCCATCGTTTTTTCTTGTACGACTTAGTTGAGTCATGTTGTTCACATTTGCATGTAGGAACTATTTAACCATTCATTCACCAACACCCTCGAATGGCTAAAAAACTATAAAGAAATAGAGGATATGTTTAAAATGTATGATCATTGTTATTATTTTCGGTGTAATTGTTCAACAATATTATTTTATTTTGGATTACATGTACCTGCCAGGCATGATATGTTTGATATAGATAATCCTTTTTATTATATAAACTAGGTTTTGCTATATGATTGCTGTAATTTATTTGAACTTTTGAGACATTACTTCTTGCAACATGTAGGATGTAGATACACCATAGTGATAGCATATTGCAATTTGTTTGTTTTTTTTACAAGAAGCAGAACCAAGTGACAGAAAGATTGGAAAACTGTGTGAATATGCTGCAAAAAATCCTTTATGTATATCCAAGGTACTATCTGATTCTTTTGGAGATTCTCATAATAACAAGTTTCCTTCAGTCATTCTATGTTAATTTTTTTATGGTAAACTCAATGAAACATATAAGTAATGTACAAAGACACAATTTGAATTATTGTTCTAAAAGTAGCTGCCCTTGAAACATCATGAACTTGGAAAAAAATTATAGAACTTTTTTGTGTTGCAACATAAAGCTGTAATGACAACTTCTTGGGGCCTGCAACATATAAATAATGATAGTAAGCATTCTTCTCCCTCTCTTGAGCACTTTTTTCTATGATTATTTTTTCCTTTGTCTTCTTTTAATTTTAAATTACAGGAAAGTTGCACCTTTCCTGTACTTGTGCCTTTTACTTTACACTCTCCTACATGGTTTGCCTGACTGTAAAAACTCTTGATTCACCAGCTGAAAGAAAATAGAAAGCTCAAAGTTTTGTGCTGCTTTTGAAAAGTTCATTTTTTTTTTTGTTTAAATTTAAATTTGAAACACCAAATACCAAGTAAGCATTGTCAAATAGTGGCCTGACACTACTGAATAAGATTATTATATTCCTAAATTATAGGCACGCACAGTGTGTTAAATTAATTTTGATAATTTGATGGAAACAAGCTATTGTATGAGGTGATATAATAAACGTAATTTTTTGTTAAACTTATGGTATAAGATGTGTACCGTATGCATGTTATGATCAAACCATCAACATTAGTGTATTTTTATGTAATGTTTGGACAAGATCGCATTGAGAAAAAAACTATTGTTTGCAATATCTATTCAATTAGAGAAATTATGCAAGTGTTATGCCTTGTGGCATATGCTATGCATAAGAGCAACTTAAATAGTACGAATATTTTTCTATTTTTGTTTTTTGGTATCTGTATAAACACTACAAGAATTAACACTTTTGGCAACAAAAAAATTGGTCGCTAAAAGTCTATTTTTGGTCGGCAAAAGTTATCTGCGACCAATTTTTTTGGTCGCTACTTTGGTCGCCAATTGGGGGTCGGCAAAAGTAATTCGCGACCAAAATTTTGGTTGGTCGGCAAAAGTTAGATTTGCCGACTAAATTTTTGGTCGCTAAATATTTAATTACCGCGACTAATTTATTTTGTCGCTATAACACTTTGGTTGCGAAAAGTGATATTTTCCCGACCAAATATCTTAGTCGCCAATTGACACATTTCGCGACCAAAAAGTTTGGTCGCCAATTATCACATTCAACGACCAAAAAGTTTGGTCGCCAATTGTGACATTCCACGACCAAAAAATTTGGTCGCCATTTGTTACTTTTTGCGACCAAAACTTTTGGTCGGCAAAAGTGAGTTTCCACGACCAAGAGCTGTTTTGGTCGGCAATAGATGTATTTTTTGCGACCAAAACTTTTGGTCGGCAAAAGTGAGATTCTACGACCAAGAGCTGTTTGGTCGGCAAATTTGTTACTTTTTGCGACCAAAACTTTTGGTCGGCAAAAGTGAGATTCTACGACCAAGAGCTGTTTGGTCGGCAATAGATGTATTTTTTTCGACCAAAACTGTTGGTCGGCAATTGTCATTTTTTGCGAAAAAAAATTATTTATTTGTCGCGACTAATAAATTGATCGCCAAAGCAAGAAAACAATACACCTATAATTCCTAATAATTCATTCAATCCATAATAAACCTATAATTTTAAAGCATCATTCAAATTAACTAAATCATTAACATTCGACACAATACAACTATTCTAAGTTTTCATTCACAAGTCACATCATTAACTTCTGATGTGTCCGTATCTCTGTCTTCTGAATCAGGCTGCATTTCAGGAAGACAATCTACTGGATCAGACACATCAGAATTTTCAAGCACGAGTTCTGCATCCTCGATCGTGAAATATTTTCTTTCATCAGCAAGGCTTTCTTCTTGGAGGATGTCTTGGATTGCAACACCTGACTTGTCATCCCTTCCTTTATCCTTCACCTTGCGATTATTTCGTTTTTGCTTGCCCTGAATTGTAGAATAAATCAAAGATGTAGTGCAGCTGAATTCAAATGAAAGAAAGATTTACAAAATCTCTCCCTCCAACAAAATAGAAGTTTCATGCGTAAGTAGCATACCAAGGATTAGTTAGTGTTAATTAAAGAGACAAGCCCAACCATGCTCTCCCTCCCTACAACTCATCCTGCAAATACAAAGCAACAAACAAGATATATCAAAGTGGATCCTTTGTGGAATTGATATTTTTAAATGATTAAAAGTTCAAAGAAATCCTACATGTGCACTCTCTTCTGTAATATCAGCATCTTTGTCAGTTTCATCATCATCAGCCTCGGCATCATCATCATCACCTTCAGCCTGAAAAAAGATTTGGCCAATTTATGGAAAATGTCTTCAATAGTTCACACATGATAGCAGCTAAAGAAAAACACAAAAGAGACCACTTACAGTCTAATGGTTTTGCATGTTTAGTATGTTTGGAAAAGCACATTCAACTCACAAAGCATTGTCTCAACTGTTTAGAACAGAGTTAATTATTGTCTTATACTGAAAGATTATTTAAAACAATGTCTTATATTAAAAATGTGCAACAAGTGAATTCTTTTCCTGACCCATAGAACAGAGTCAATTACTGTAGTCTCTCAACAGCCAAATCTAATGTAAACATGTATTTATGTTCTTCTTAACAAACAAGTTGTTTGGTTTGGTGCCCTAAACTCTAAAGTAATTAATCAACTCTACAAAAGTGAACAAACCTCCATGAATCAGGAATATTTATGATTGGTTGATAATCTTAATCATCTCTTTTAAGATTATCAGGATGTACAGCCCCTGCAATATCAGGAATATTTATGTGTATATGAAATGAGATGTTAATAAAACATAAGATTTTAAGATAACATGCAGTGGTGGCCTTGGTAAATACCTTCTGATTGGTTGATAAGGTTTTCAACACATAAGGGCTCATCATGTAGAACTGCACTTGAACATCATTAGACACGTATGGTTCCCAATTTGTTCCAGACCACTCAAAAATCTCAATAGAGTATTCCTGCAAAATATTCACATTTGTAAGAATGTGGCAACAAAAGTTCCATTATTTGTAATTTAATCTCACAGCAACCAAATCTTGACATAATGAATATGAGGTGGCATTACCAGGTCATCATTAATCCTATAAATTGCAGGCTCATCTATTTCCCCAACTTTGTGATGTCTGACATTAACAGCCTGAAGATCAAGAATACAAGTTAATACTACACACCAACAGAGGGTGCAATACATCATAATCATGTGGAAGTTTGAAAAATCTTATGAGAACGTCCTTTTCTGGTAGCATTTTTATCCCTTAAAGCTTTAAGTCTTAACTTGGCCAAAGTTGATAAAATATACAGTCGTAATCAGATACAAAGATAACCAGATATCAGGCAAGTTTGTTCCTCACCTCCAGATGACCCCTTTCATGGAAGACCCATTTGCTAAGTTCAGTCACAAACTGCTCATTACCCGATTTTTCGTACCTGTCACAATTTCTATTTACATCAGATTCTTTGGTCTTCAGCAAAACACCGTTAAATCTATAAACTATTTCCAATAACAAATAGATAAAAACAAGGACATATGGAAGGCTTGGAAGCTAAAAAATTCTGGGAGGCTTTGGACATCCCTAGTTCTGTTCTAGACTCTTTCTCGATCGACCTTATCAGCTGGGTTAATTCCAATTGTTCATCCCATTGTCATAATCTTTTAACAGTACCCTGGTCTATCCTTTTCCCCATCTCTTGTTGGTACATATGGAAGAACAGAAGCACTTGCACTTTTGACCCAAACCACCTTCCTTTACTCACTCCTTCTAGGGCGGTAGCTCGGACTGTTGAATGGCAGTTCATAGCCAACCTCTATCCCAACAAAACCCAAACTCCTCCCATTACTGTTAGCTGGACAACCCCTAGTTTGGGCTCCTTCAAGCTCAACATGGATGGAGCATCTAAAGGGAATCCAGGACAGGCCTTTGCTGGTTGTTTAATTCAAGATCATATGGGCCGATGGATTTGTGGTTTTACTAGAAACATTGGTATTTGCTCAAGCATCATGGCTGAGTTTTGGGCCATGAGAGATGGGTTCAAGCTAGCCCTTGACAACAACATAATGAATTTGGAAGCGAAAACTGATGCAGTGCTCTTAAAACAACTCATTTCTGGGTCTAACACAGAAAATTACCACCTCACAAATTATATAATTGACTGCAGGTACCTGTTGAGAAGGTAGGGTGTGGTGACTTTGCATCATATCTACAGAGAAGCCAGTAGCTGTGCAGATATTCTAGCAAATCAAAGAGTGTTCTTTGCTTAAAGTTTTGGTGTGGTGACTTTTCATCATATCTACAGAGAAGCCAATAGCTGTGCGGATATTCTAACAAATCAAAGAGTGTTTTTTGCTGAAAGTTTTCGTGTATTCTCCCCCACTTTTTTATTTCCATCCAACTAGCAGTTGATGCTAGAGGAGTCCTAGTCTTAGTCCTAGAATGTTCTATATATTGCACCCCACTGTATTTCCATCCAACTAGCAGATGATGCTAGAGGAGTCCTAGAATGTTGTAGTAACTCTATTATTTTATCTATATATTGCACCAGTTCTAACCCCCCTCCCCCCTCCCAAAAAAAAAAAAAGAAAAAAAGAAAAAACGACACATAATTTGACTTACGAAAAAATATATATATAGATATCTCATCCCATTAATCCAAAACAAAGAAATAATTCCCCTCGACTTATATTTTGAAAAAATAAAATCATCCTTCTTCCTTAACAATACCCAGTTTTCTGTAGAAATTTCCTAAACCATTGATGAATAAGTTTGGGGGTCTTTCATGTGAAACCCTCCACAATTATGAAGGATCATAGAACTCTTTTAAAAAAGCATAAATCCACTATCCACATTGACACTTGTATCATGAGCTTTTGGAAGACGATTTTATGAATTTGGTATCCCTTGGGACCAAACACAACATTGAATCACGACCTTATTTTCTGCTGATAACTCTAATGTAGTAATAACCATTGATTTTAGGTCATTTCCCAAGGAACAAAGAAAATTATATAATATAGGTATCTAGTAGGCCACACATAACTCTTCCACTTCCACACCTCAATGTAACAATGGCACAATCACTTTAGACCTAATTTTGTAGTGTCCATATCTTGAGGGTAAAGCGCTTGATACAATAGTAAAGGTTAAGGAATCAAGCATCTGGCAGCAGAATGTGGTTCAAGTATAAGGACAAGCCACTCTTTGAGGTTGTGCCTAAAGGCCCAAGGTTGGGTACTTTGTACACTTTGATGGAACCACCACTTAAGATAAGTTTCTTCTACTTTTTTAGTTATTCAAATACCAATTAAAATACAGGATGAATGGCCCACTCTAGATGTATGACAATTGACCAACCAAAAGGAACAATACTACAGTAGAAGAATACAAAGGAAAGATCACCAAGTACAGATGAATTTGCAATGGAAAATCCACTTTTAAGTGTTCAAAAACTATGGCGGTACAGGGCACCACATCTGATCTATCTCGATCTCTCTCTCTTACACACAGACACAAGCACATTCATGAGTGGTACTGTTCAACGCTTCTTTAATGCATTTAACTTTTGTCTCATCTATTCATTTTTATGCATGTTTTGGATGTACACAGACAAATGTGGACCATTAGATTGTAAGTCAGAGAACAAGTTGGATAATAAGCTGGCATGTAGAAGTACTGAATGAAGATTGACCAGAGGATTACTCACTTATTTGAGCTCCCAGCCTTCTGCACACCTGATTTGAACAATTTGAATCACATAAAGGACAAACATTAAATAATGAGGTCAAATATCCTGAGAAACTTCCAAAGTTCAGATTAAGTGCACAACGATACAAACCCATTACTGAACATATCTAAAGAGCCAGCGATCATAATCCGTGCATTATTTCTAGCCTGCACCATATAAGAATTTTTAACAAATATGATTCAAGTTTGGTAGATCTCAATACAAAAAGTAAGCATTTATCCACTTAAAATATCTAAACAAAGATGATTTAACTATAAGTTTGGTAGATCTCAACCAAAAAGTAAGCATTTATTCATTTAAAATAGTGAAAGAAAAATAAAAAATAAAAAGACTTCGACCTTTGTCAACTATAGTTAAAGTTCCAAAGTGAAACCACAAAAAAAAGAAATTGGTGCAGGAAATGATTAATGCAAATGCAAACCATTCATGAATTACTTATTTCAGTTATGGGCAAATAAATATTAGATGGTCAAAGCACCCAAAACAAATGTTAAAGAATATGAAGTTCAGATATCCCTGCCAATAAGAATTTTTTTTCCAGAAATATTTCACAAGAAATTAACTAAAAATGTTAAGATATAGGCATATAGCATTTTTTGATCAGCAGATATAGGCAAAAAGCATTGCAGAGATCGCTTAAACAAACTCCAAGGAAGAAAGGAAAAAAAAAACAAAAAATGACCTGCACAACTGAAACCAATGATATAGCAGATCCGGTAAGGGACGGAGGATTTGACAACTTGGATTTTGGATTAGTAGAATATGCAGAAGGAGAGGCTCCAAGAACTTTCATAGCCTACAAATTACATAAGATATCACAAAAGTGAATTCCTCAACACAAATCCACCGAACACTTTGAGTCACTCTATGTGCATGCTTCTAACTAGGACATAAAACTAGATAAAGCAAAAGACAAACAAAAAGACCTTTAACCTTACCAAGTTATTGGCAGAATTTAATGAATGGCCAATCCCTTTGAAAAGTACAGGGGCCTGTTTCATTGAATATAGAATCTATCAGAAATGCAAGCATTGATTTATTGACTTTAGAGGTTTAAGTTGAAAAACATAAAAAAAGAAAGTAATGAATAGAAAGATAAATTATTATAAAAACGTTAATATCAAAATACAAACTGTGATAGATATGTACACCACCAACAGCAACTAGATACATGACCTTGAAAATTTTAGATAAGGCTTCAAATATTCTAAAGAGCAGTAGTCCATTGAGAGAGAGAGAGAGAGAGTACAGTAATACAAGTAGTCCATCTTAGTATGTTCTCACTTCACTTATCTTCAATTGGTTACCATTTCATGAATATATCCATTTCTAATTCTCTTTCCTTATTCTCTTTCCTTTTATACTTTAGGAATAGAAACATAATAAGAATTTCCACTATTCCAGACTTGGACACTACAGGAGAATTGACCACAAAAGCATCAAAATTACGCTCACAAAAGGAGTAAACAACTTTTCTTTTTTGAAATTTATGATAATAATAATAATAAAATAATAGAACAAACCAATGTGATCTAATTTTTAGAAGATGATTTTCTAGAAATATGATCTAATTTTTTCCAGTAGAATATGTTAGTTGAAACATATCAATTAATAGAATATGTTAGTTGAAACTTATCAATTCACAAGATAAGATCATATTGTAACTTGAGAAATAGTATCGCATACATGCAATTTTTAACATCAATGAAATTAAGTAAATTCATCTGGCAGCAAGTGCACAAAGACAATGAGTAGTTGCAGCAAGACAAATCAATGTTGTTAGGTTTTATTTCTTGGCAATCCCGTTTGACAAAACTCCTTTCAGTTGTATTTTTTTTCGCACTTTTATGTCAGTGAGGCTATGAGTGTTTAGATGCGAATCCAACCCGAATTGTGCTTTTTCAGAGAAGTTTGTGATGATAAAGCTCCACAGATTGCCACTTCGCTGATCATGTTATATTTTTCCTAGGGTGTAAATGGTTTAATGAAAATAAGAGTCTTTATAAAATTATAAAGTCAGAGATGTGGTGTGTGCACCATCAAAAAGTTAGAAAACATGTGAAAAAAACTATTATTAAACAAGAATGTTAATGCTACTCACCTAAAATACATAATAGAAGGGTCATCTAATACAACCAAAAAAGAGAAAAAAAAAAAAAAGAGGTAGACATTGAAAATCACAAATTTTAAGTGTTCATTGCATCCACTTGAAAAAACGCTGATCCAAACAATCAATTTGTCCAGTTCAGGGTGTTTTCAAAACTAGCTGTTTAGGTATCTGTGTGCATTAAGTCATAGGGAAAAAATAGTGAAAGAGAGTTCATAAAGCATTTATGTCAGTTGCCACACCATAAGGTCCCCCTGTTTCCGAAATGTGCACTTCGTGTGTTGGCACCCCATTTCTCAGGACTCAACCAAAAAGGAATTAAAACACCAAATTGGGACAGACATAACATCCTGCAAATGATATTATGTGTCCATGACAATTCCCTCTTTATCATTTTAAACAATAAAATACCAGCAGACAATTTTGATTGACATAGCTATACATTTATGCATACACAAATTAACTCAACTAACCCTCAATGACAACTGCTTATGGTTTGCCTCAATACATAAGTACATACATGTATACACTGAGATACAAGGAGAAATGCATAACATTTCTTGGAAATTGTCAATGCCATATAACCATATGACTACCTCCAATCTTACTGTCAGGTAAAGTCTGCTTGTAATAAATTAAACGAACTAAAATGAAAAACAGAAGCTGAAGCCACACATTCTGCAAACTTAGCAATTAGTATTCAAGAATGAACATGTCAACTGGGACTATAGATGCCCAATGGTGATGAGAAACAAGCTTACCTGGTCAAGAGTAGACAATTGCATGAATCTTTCATAGTATAATTTCCAATCTGGCTCAACTTCAACATTGGTGGGTGTAACTAAGTATACTAAATGCAAATCAGATGCAAGCACAAATCCTTCTCTATCCCTTGAAAGATCATCCAGTACAATCTAGAAAAAATTAAAATATATAAAATATAAAAATACATAATTAAAGTCAGCAATTCCTTAATTCATCCATTCAAGATCAGTATGTTCCTTAATTCATCGGCAACAGCAGCCACATTTGGCAAGGTTGCACTCATACCAACAATTTGGAGACCACGAGCAGGATCAGTCTTCCCACTGCTTGTACCTGAACTTTCTCCACTAGATGATTATATATTGCCTTCACCAGCAGCATAACGAAGCTTTGTCAACATAAGCTCCAACAGATAACCCCTATTCTGATCACCCACCTGTCAACAAACCCCAGGGATGAGAACCATCTCTATAATCTACTACAATTATAAAGCATTAAAACAATTTTGAAAAAAGAAACAAGAAGTAATTGATGAACATCACTAAAAATTAAAAAGACTACATCAAAGGCAGCTACCATGTGCAGTTCATCTATCACAATAATCCTAAGTTCTAACAGACGACCCTCTTCTAGAAATCTGTTAATTAAAGAGTTTGCCTTCTCAATTGTACAGACAGCTACAGAGGTATCTTTTGGAAGAGTCCCACCACCTTGGTTTCCATAATAACTGCGAACATGCTTGCCAAGTGGTTCTAATAGGACCTCCAGATGTTCTGCCTGCTCCAAGCCAGCCATAGATTCAAGTACAACAGATAGATTAGGATCAAAAACTGATTCAGAAGAGGGGGGTGGGAATTACAAACCTTTTCTGCACAAATTGATACATATGGAAGTACAAGAAAATTAAAAACCACACGAAGATCAGCTTCAAACATAATGTTAGAAAAATAATATATATAAAAATGGAAAATAAAAATAAAAACAGATACATCATTTTGCAAGTCAACCCGGAAAATTATCATATAAAAATCATATCATGATCAAACACAGCATCAAATCAAACCTCAACAAAATGGGATATAATCAAGTGAATAAAATAAAAAAATTGGCAACAACAGCTAAGTTTATACCATAACATGAATGAAATTAATATTGGTGGGGAGGAGGGAAGAGCACAAATACATATCACACAGAAAAAACAAAATACATATAAGCATATATTTAATAAAGACAGGAACAATCCATAAAAATTAAAACAAAAGTATATTTCACAAACATAATCACTTTCTTCCATTTTACAGACAGCAACAAGGCAGGCGGGTGGGTTAAGGGGCAGAGTCTAGACAGCAATTCCTCAGCATAAACTTAGCCCACCCCCAAAAAAACTGGCAACAAACTAACAAAACATTATAAATTATATTTGAATATAAAAATTCCTAGTAAAAAATCATACAGATGACAAAATATATAACTCTACATGATGGAAATTTTCCTAACCCAGCTTGCCTTGAACACAATTCAAAAATAAATTTATCAATCCATATACCCAATGATGAAAATCCAGAACCTTTGTGAATATGATAAGACAGGACCACCAACTAATCTGCGCTATTTCTATCAGTAATTCCTTTATAGTGTAAGAAGTTTAGTGAAAGTAGGTTCATCCAGAAGTTAGAAAAATACCTGCCATGGATACAATTTTGAAATTCCTTTCTTCTTATATATGGCACATATTTCAGAAGGAAGCCAGAAGCTAAGATCTAAACAATCTTTTAGCGGTGCAAAACTTGATGGAGTACTATCTCCAGCATCTTCACAGAAAACCATGCAATTTCATTTTTCCTTTTCCGATGCACTAGATGCGATAGTATCATTATCTTGACTCAAAAAACACTATTTCCTTTCAGCTACATCACAACCAGATGTCAGTTGTTGCATTGCGCCATTCAAGCGAGAATGCGTTGTTATATTAGCAGGTTGAAGACTTCTATTATCTACAGAAGTACATCCAGCTTGTGCACCTTTTCTATACACAAGACCTTTGTATCATCTACAGATAGATCATCTGAATTTTTGTCCTCAAACGAGAAGTCAAAATGCTTCACTGGCAATGGGGATGCTTCTTCATGCAAATCCTTTCCATGCTTCCCTGTTGATCCTGTAGAAGCATTCATTTCCACACCACCGACTCTACTTTCAATTTTTGTTTAATATTTGAATGCACTTTGTTTATTAGTTTGATGGAAGACCTTCTGAGTCGTCCAACCATACTCTGGTACTCTCAATTGTATCCGAACCAATTGTACCTAATCATAATCAATTTCCGGAAAATTAAAAACCTTATTCATTGCCACAAAATTTCTCAAACATTGATTCCAGTACTCGTATTTATATTTACTTGCTCTAAAAGTACATAAAGATTATTTGACATTTCCATTTTTCACATAGGGGATAGGAAAATTCAGCCTATTAAACATTTTCTTAATTCCTAAAGATCAACATGAGCAAAAAATATAAGACTAACTAACTCATTAAAACATAGAAAGACAACCAAAAAAAAAGAAGCTAATTATGGGTAACCAAAATTATTCTAATTATGCCAAAATTATGCTCAGTAACCAAAATTATGCTAATTATTCACTACCAGACATCTTCCCTCTTACAGAGGCTCAGCTAGGTATTTCCAACAAAATGAAGAAACATTAACAAAATAACACAATCTCAAAGTTTGAAGTTAACTAAGCTAATTAGGCTTTTTAATTAAAGTATGAGTTTTCCATATTTATCAAAACATAAACCTGGTTTATGTATTTATATGTTTCCTCATTTTCTCATCAATCAAATTTGAGTAAAACAAAATCCTAAACATTCAATTTGAAACCCTAGAAACCCTAATCGACATGAATCCACAATTCACATTAAATTCATCTGAATACCGAAAAGAAAGCAATCACAACCAAAGTAAAGAACAGCAATATTACAAAATCCTCAAGAAAACTCAGATTATATAGGTGAAATTAGATGGTGAATCAGTAAATCCACATTACATCTATCACAACACAGGTTTGCTTTATGACCTCAATCCTCTCTTCTTCCATAGCCCCCAAATTCTACAACCACAGCAACAATCAATCAAGAAATGAACCCAAATGGAATCAATCCACCATGTGTCTGGCAC